GAAATTGTTGGAAGTCACTTTTCTAATAATGGCACCTCTTCCATTCTCTTTTGTCATTCTGTCAGGGCTTCATTTGACCTATCAGGTGGGAGAAGAGAGAGATGCATGTGATCATTCAGTATGCCATGTTTAACTGAATGTCCTCATATGGTTATGGAAAACTTTGCATTTAATTACTTAAGTTCTGTTTAGAGAGTCCAGGCTTGATATAAAAAATAGTGTTGCCCTGGATATCCCCATCCAAGACAGCCACTTTTCATATTTTAAACTGATTCTTCAGGTTTTACTTTCTGGTCTTTAATAATATGCCCATTGTATTCATGTTCATTTTCCAGTTTAGGCATAAGCTATTGACTTTTAAAGTCATTGACTTAAAAAATAAATAGACCTTTTATTTTTGAAATGTAACACACAGAAAAAATGCCTATTTATACGTAACCCTGACCCAGGGCAGAACATTCTATGACCCATATCCAGAAGCCTCACTTTGCCTCCTGCGGATTACTTCACAGTCCCTCATGTACAAGGGAGCACTTTTCTAACACTACAGGTTAGTTTTGTCTCTTTGCTTTTTAAATATTCTAATGCAATCATACAGTATGTTACCTTTTGTCTGCTACTTATACTTCCTGCTTATAACCTTCTCCCATGTTGGGTTTTGTTAGGTTTTAATTTGAAATTTTATTTTGCAGCCAACTGTTATAGTTGTTTGGTGTGATCTTTAACCATTATGAACTAAGTTGTAATCCTTCAAATTCATATGGTAAAGCCATGACCTTATATATGGTGAAGTGTGACTATGTTTGGTAATAGAGTCTTTATAGAAGGTTAAATGAGGCTACATGGGTGTGCCCTGATCAATAAGATTTGTGTCCTTATTATAAAAAGAGACATCAGAGAACTGACTCTCCCACCATGTGAGGACACAGTGAGAAGGCAATTGTCTGCAAGCCAGGAAGTGGCCCTCACAAGAACCAATCCGGCTGGCACCTGTATCTTGGACTTCTAGTCTCCAAAATTGTGAGAAAATAAATTTCTGCTTATTTTCCCAATCTATGGTATTTTGTTACGGCAGCCCATGCAGACCAATACAGCATTCTTCAGGCTACCATGTGCCTTTAAGGGACTTGAGATCTTTTTTTACCTGCTCTTTTAGGAGTTATAGATGCTTTAACACCTTTCAAGGGTAGGAGTTGGGATCTTTTGACTAGCAGTGAATTGACAGGAAATGGAAAATAAGGATTTTTCTCCAGCAGATCCTGTCTGTTGAAGCAGGTTGAGGATTCCCTTCTCATGCATGAACTATCTTTATCCCTATTTTGTAATTTTCCACTTTGCTTCTGGCATTAGGGTGAATAAATGGAATTTCCCAGAGCAGAGACGTTTTCTCCTCTTTCCTTACCTAGTGAACCCCCTTGGCTTTCGTTGTGTCCCTTTGTCCCTATACTCTAGCTGTCCATTACCATGGAAATGAGTGGTCTTCTCTCATCTCCCTTTCTGAGGCACTGCCTCAGTGATGCTCCCACAGTCGCCTTCTCTTTAGGTGACGTTAAGGTCTCACCTCTGTCTGAGATCTCCAGGTCTGGACCAAGTTAATTTGATGATTGAGTCATCATAGCAGGGAGTTGGGAGGAAGAAGGGATTAGAAATGTCCCCCTCAGGCTTCATTGTTGCACATACACTAAGTGATAGTGTTTTACTCTGGGAATACCATGGCCTTGATAGAATGACTTTTCTACAGTTTGGAGAAGCCAAATGCTTTGAGTTTCTTTTTGAAGAAGCTTCCTGAAGAAGAAATGTGTAAGAACTGAAGCAGAGTAGGATCTTTAGGAATAAGAGGACATGGCATAGAATCAGAAGAAGCTAGTGATCTTGAGTCCAGTCATGCACTAGAAACTGGCTCTCAGAAGATCAGAGGAAAGAGGAATGGGAAGGGCAGCAGCGCTGTTGTATTTGGTCCCAAGAAGGAAGATGAAAACATAATGGTGGTCAGAAAAGAACATCGTATCCCGGCGCTGTGGCACACGCCTATATTCCTAGCAGCTCGGGAGGCTGAGGCAGGAGGATCGTGAGTTCAGAGCCAGCCTCAGCAACAGCGAGGTGCTAAGCAACTCAGTGAGACACTGTCTCTAAATAAAATATAAAAAAGTAGGTCTGGGGATGTGGCTCAGTGGTTAAGTGCCCCTCAGTTTGATACCCCATAACTCTCCCACCCCACCAAAAAAAAAAAGAGCAGCATGGGTAAAGAGTTTCTTAGAAATTGGAAGATCCAAGTACACCACATAAAATTACTTAGAAAATAGAAAGTTTGAAGAAAATTAATTCATTTGACTTTGAACTAATGTAAACTTTTAAAAACCATCTTCCTATCTGTTAAAACACTAGAAGCCCTCCTTCTTCACTGTTCTGTCTCTCTCAGGTGTGTTTGTTTACTGATTATGAGTGTTCAGGCCCTCAGATCAACTCAGCAAACATTTATTGAGCACTGTGCCCATGCATTATGCCAGTGCTGTAAAGATGAAAAGATGCCTTCTTCCCATTTAAGTTGTACACTAATAGTCAGTTTTCACATATTTTAGCAGCCAATATTTTCTTATTCCAAATACAGAACTAGAATTCTGACTTCACTTTTTCCCCCAAGGTCATACACATTCACTCTCTGCTCCTCCAGTTCTGATTTGCCTTTCCCAGAGGTGGGGAAATAACATTGCATTCTCAAAGCATGGCTGGGAGTGGGGCACTGAAGACTTACTGAGACCCTGTTGAAGGCTGCAAAGCCAAAACTATTTTTATATTCTAAGACTATTAAATCATTCACTTTTTCAGTCTCTCTTACAAGTGAGGAGTGGAATTTTCCAGAGGCCATATGATCTATATTATCACAACAGATTGAATGCAGAAACATATATTAACCTGGGTGCAGTGACACACACCATCTCCCAGCCATTTGGGAGGCTGAAGCAGGAAGATTGCAAGTTTGAGGACAGTGTGGACAATTTAGATTCTATCTCAAAATTTTAAAAAAGGGATTGGGGATTAGGGATGTAGCTGAGCGATAGAGTACCATCGGATTCAATCCCAAGTACCACTGAAGGAAAAATAAAAATCATTAAGATGTGTTCTATTGCTGGGTGTAGTGGTACATGCCTATAATCCCAGTGATTTAGAAGGCTGGGGCAAGAGAATTACAACTTTGAGGCCAGCATGAGCAACTTAGACTCTAAGAATAAAACGGCTCTGAGGATATAGTTTAGTGGTAGAATGCCTAGCATTCAGGAGGCCCTGGGTTCCATCCACAACAATACAAAAAAAGTAATGAATAGATAAGTGCTTATTTTTTACAATTTTTCAGTTTTTGTATGTAATATTACAAATATCAATGTATATATAAAACACATTTGGGGTTTTTAATAATCTTTAAGAGAGTAGAGGGGTTCAAAAAGTGTGAGAACCGTTGACATAGAAAATCTTTTTTTTTTCTTTTTAATATTTATTTTTTAGTTGTAGGTGGACATTATCTTTATTTCAGTTTTTCGTGGTGCTGAGGAGTGAACCCAGGGCCTCATGCTTGCTAGGCAAGCATTCTACCACTGAGTACAACCCCAACCCAGCATAGAAAATCTTTAAGCCCTTGTTCCCAGACTTTAGCTCTAGGCATTTTCTTAAGTGTTGTGTCCTACTGGGTCTATATTCTACAGGATGTGCAAGCAGGGCCTCCTCATCTAGTGGGGTAGGCCCATGGGCTGTTCTGGACCTCAGGTGCCAGCTGAGTTAATTTATCCTCCCAGGTCATGGCAAAGCCTCTCTCCACTTACGTTCCCTTTCATTGTCTGTAATTTGTGTGTGTGTGTGTGTGTGTGTGCACGCGCTGGGATTGAACCCAGGACCTTGTGCATGCTAAGCACTGCTCTACCACTAAGCTATCTATCCTCCCCTCTGTCACCTGGAGAGATCATTTTTATGCAACAAGTCATGAGCTACCAGGTGAGGATGCCTATGCAGGTTCGCTTAGTAGTACTGGTAAAACTGATTTCCTTTTTTAAAGTTAAGAAATGTACATAAACAGAAGCTGGGGTTCTTTATTCATGTGTCCTACTGGCTCTTTTTGTATCACCTAGGGGTGTGCTCACCCCTTTCTGGACAAAGGTTACCAGGTGACACATTTGTTGCCTCTGCGCATGGTTAGCTCACAGATTGGTCTAGAACTAGTCTTTCTTTAACTGCCTAAAGGGATTTTGTTTTGTTTTGATACCAGTCTCCACTGGGTTGCCCAGACTGGTCTCTGACTCCTGGGTTTAAGTGATCCTCCTGCTTCAACATTCTGAGTGCTGGGATTACTGGCACAGCCACCACCATGCCAGGCCTTTTATTATTATTTCTGTAATGTTTTTAAAGTTTTGGATTCAACACCAACCTATTTGTATATTTATTTATTAAGCCCTCATTGTATGCAAGATGCTTTGTGAGGTATGTTGAGTTATACATGTCTGTCAATGTGCAGTTCCTGCCCCCAGATCCCAGAGTCAACTGAAATTAGTGTCAGTAAAATGAAGAGGGCTGGGGCTGGGATTCAGTGGTAGAGCACTTGCCTGGTACACACAAGGCCTTGGGTTCTATCCCCAGCACTGTCCACCCCACGCCCCTTTTTTCCCCAACAAATACTCAAGAGATTTCCTACATTGCATATATTTTAGAAGTATTTTCATTGTGTAATCTGTCACTCTCCTGTTTTGGGGAGGGAGTCAGTGCTGATAACGCTGAATTTTTTTTTCCTAGTTTGTATAAGTAACTTAAATATAAAATGTTATAGTAATAGCATTACTTGCCTAAAGCCCCTGTCTTCAGTTATATAGTTTTATAAATTTTTGATTGCTTGATGTAACCAGTCAAGGTTTGTCTTGCTTTTTAACAGTGCCATATATGTGGGTGTTTATAAAACTGTTACCAGGTAGTCTGTGCTTACCAATTCTTAAAATCCATAAATATGTATTTTTTTCTAGGTTGCAATAAAAATAATTGACAAAACTCAGTTGAATCCAACAAGTCTACAAAAGGTAAGAAAAGTATTAAGGTTTTTAAAAATGATTTTTGGTGTTAATTGCCATCTAATTTGCTCCTTAAGTCTCAATTGTTGTTTATTATGTTAGTGCAATAAAACTTCTGTTCTTCAAATGAATACAGTTTAAGTGGAGTGTTTTATAAAAATGTTAGTGTTATCTTCATTTGAAAATAATGATTTTAAATGTGCTGAATAACAAACTGAAGGCTCAGATTTAAAAGAGAATATTCTAAATATTGATTAGAATTTAGAGTTTTTTAAAAATAGCATACAAATATATTTTCATCTATTATGCAGATTTTGTATACTTTTATAACTAATACTGAAATCTTTAAAGCCAGCAAATATCACCAGGCACCGGGCATGCACCAGTAGTCCCAGCTACTCAGGAGACTGAGACAGGAAGGTTGCTTGAGCCCAGGAGTTTGAGGCCAGCCTGAGCAACATAGGTAGAACCTGTTTCTTAGGGGACAAAAAAAAATTTAAGAAGTGATAATTTTGTCTTCTCAAGATGGATGTTTTAATGACATAATGCATATAAAAGAGCTTTGTAAACTGCAAACATTCTATTGTAAGGTATTTTGATAAGTGTAATGCCCACTATATATTACTAATGGATTCCTAGTGGTTACTTACATTCTGGTAATTTTAAAGCTGTGTTGCTCTTAGTGTGTAGAAGGTGGGGAAGGACATAGACTTGATCTTACACTAAAAATGGTACTGGCGCCTGGGCTGTGGCTCAGTGGGAGGACATTTGCCTGGCACATGTTCAATTCCCAGCACTGCAGAACATAGAAATAAAAACAAAAACAATGTTAAAACAAGTAGTTCTTTGTGGTCTGCAGCCCAGAGTGGGCATTAAGGTTTCTTAAGATAGCCCTGGGACAGATTCTGAAATTCTAATCCTTTGTGGGTTTTTCTAGGTTTTTTTTTTTTTTTTTTGTCTTTTAAGTTGTAAATGGACACAAACCTTTAATTTAAATCAAACCCAGTGCTGAAGATTAAACCTAGCGCCTCATGCATGCTAGGCAAGTGCTCTACTGTTGAGCTACAACCCAGCCCTAGTCCTTTGTTTTGGAGAGTAAATTTTACCTGTTTTCTCAAACTTTAATTTCTTCATATATTTAAGAATTTAATATTAATAAGTCATTTAAGGGTTACCAAAATGTAGTATTCAAAACTCAAATTACCAGGTTTAGTGGGGACTCAACTCAGTATTCTGTGGTGTTAGAAATCTTCCCCAACTCATGTGTGCCTGGAGAGAGACCTAGACCTCTATAGCAATTTTCCAAGAAGTTCTATCCTATGATTGTGTCAGGTTGGCTGTGGTCTTTCCTTCCTCATGCTTTGCTTGCTTGCTTTTTTCATTATTTTTGCTCCTAGTTTTTAATTGCAGTTATTCTTTAAACTTTTTTTTTTTTTTTTTTAATATTTATTTTTTAGTTTTCGGCGGACACAACATCTTTGTATGTGGTGCTGAGGATCGAACCCGGGCCACACGCATGCCAGGCGAGTGCCCTACCGCTTGAGCCACATCCCCAGCCCCTGCAGTTATTCTTTATTATTGCAAATTACTCTAGATCACACCATTATTATTTTTAGTATGTGGGAGGTTATCTTGTTAGCCCAATAGTGTGTTTATGCATATTTGTACAACATTAATTTTGGCTTATGATAATCTAGTAATTAAAACTTTTAAGATTAGTTTGTGGTATAGTTGAAGTGCAAACTATCCATAGAAGACTTATCCCAAAGCTTGATCTATTCAAGTCAAAAACTTGATAAGTAAAATATTTTCAGTTTATAAGGCATTATTTTAAATCATATGTGTACATTCTTCTCTTGTAAATTACTTACACGTTGACTTCAAATTCTTTTCCTTCCTTTTTTGGTCCTGGGGATTGAACTCGGGGGCATTTGACCACTGAGCCATATCCCAGCCCTCTTTTGTATTTTATTGAGAGACAGGATCTCACTGAGTTGCTTAAAACCTTTCTGTTGCTGAGGCTGGCTTTGAACTTACTATTCTCCTGACTCAGCCTCCTGAGCCACTGGGATTAAAGGCATGCACCCCTGCGCCTGGCTCAAATTCTTTTTCTTTCTTTTTTTTTTTTTTTAAAGAGAGAGTGAGAGAGGGAGGGGGAGAGAGAGAGAGAGAATTTTTAATATTTATTTTTTTTAGTTATCGGCGGACACAACATCTTTGTATGTGGTGCTGAGGATCGAACCCGGGCCGCACGCATGCCAGGCGAGCGCGCTACCGCTTGAGCCACATTCCCAGCCCCTCAAATTCTTTTTCATTAATTTCTTTTCCATAGGAAAATATTAATAGGGTAGTATACACAGGTGTTCTGACAGCTTATTTTCTTTGCTTGGCACCATTCACAATTGTATCTCACTCGCACCAGAAACAGTTCTCCCTCTAGATAGTGATTTAAAGCCCTGGAGCAGCCCTAGAAGATACATTGACTTTAAGGAACATTCTGCTAGCAACAGCATGCAGTTCATTTGCACTACTACTACTAGAGGATGTACACGGGTCGAGTCAGGCAATATTTGAACATACATGTTAAAATAGTATCAAGTTCACAATATTAGGCTGGTACATTGAACCATGTGCCTTTATTCAAAGCATATAAACCTGAGTTGAAGCATATTTGCAATTTGATGTTGTCCCACACTTGAGTCTTTTCATTTTTCCCATTTTCCCAGCTATTGAGTTAATAAACAGTAGATTCTTTATGTGATTTCTTTTTCCCCACTGTTTTTGTACTTTTCAACTTCTGACTACTATTATTGGGATACTATTCTGTTCATAAACATCTTTTCAGCCATTTTTTAAAGAACTCCGTAATGTTTATACCTGCAATGGTTTTGGAAACATCAGGAATAACAAAAACATTAGTCTAAGTTATTTTTAGCTTCAATTTAATTATACTAGGTATTCTTGCTGGGTATTACCTTATTAAATCCAAGTTTCATTAAAAAGCAAATCATGGGGGCTGGAGTTTTGGCGCTCAGCGGTAGAGCACTCTCCTAGCATATGTGAGGCCCTGGGTTCTATCCTCAGCACCACATAAAATAAATAAAATAAAGGTATTGCATCCAACTACAACTAAAAAATATTTATTTTTTTTTAAAAAGCAAATCATGGCTCATTTCAAGAAAATGTATATACTTATTCAAAAATGCTAAACTTTATTAAGACATGTCAGAACACTTAGGGTAACCCATCTGAAGTTCCTAATAATGTCTTTCAGTCTTGGGAGTAGACTGACTGTTAACACAAGAGTGATGCTTAGGAGCATGCAAAGCATCAGTACAAACCCAGGCTTCAGCCTGCCTAGCTGTGTGATAAGCCACTGACCTCCCTTTGTCTTCATAATAACGCCTTAGAGGGTTGTAGTGAGAAGCAAGTTAATATATTAAGCCCATAGTAGAGCTTAGAATAATACCTGACACATGATAAGGACTCTGAGTGTTTGACATTATCATGTGCTCAGCTAAATAATTGGTTTTCATTGCTTGGTTTCTGCAGAATGGAGAATGTTTTTTGTTTGTTTAAAAATTTCCCCCTCATAGAAAGTAAGTAAAGCTTAATCATTGAATGGTAGATTCTAGCTAGGTCTCTTTTGTAGGAATTAGCTGTACTAATAATAACAATTGTTAACATTTGCACATTTAGTCTGTGTACAGACTGAGCACTGTTATTTTACTTGTATTACTCATTTATAACTTCACGAGGTCAATTCTGTTCTTCAGTAAAGAGAGCCAGGGAGATGAAGTAACCTCTCTGAAATAGAACTCCACCTATGATAGGTGAAGTTGGCATTGAGTCAAGCAGGTTTGTTCAGTTGAGATGTTAGAGAACTGACAGTGAGTGACATGCTGGATCATTAGCATAGGAGCTCATTGCTGTCAGATAATGTGCCCCTCCCCTGTCCTTACTCTTACAAGCCCTGGATTTTTCATGTTAATTAGTCTGATAGACATCTTTCATCTCTACCTTTGTTAGGTAGATATCATTGCCATTTTCATTTTCCACTGGGGAAACAAGACAAAGGAGTCGATGTAGTCAAGTCCTCTAGCTAGTAAATGATAGAGCAAAAATAGAAATCTTGGACTGACTCCAAAATGTGGACTTTTCCCACTCCCTTATGTTGCCTTACCATAATTAATTAAATTTCTGTAATTCAGGATTTACAGAAAGTTTGATGGAAAATGACTTGAAGCTTCCTATTGAGTAGCTATAAAGAAGTTCATTAAGGGGCTGTGATTATACCTCAGTGGTAGAGTGCTTGCCTCAAATGTGTTTAATCCTCAACATGACATAAAAATAAATGAATAAAAGTATTGTAGGCCAGGTGTGGTAGTGCATGCCTGTAATCCCAGCAGCTCGGGAAGCAGAGGCAGGAGGATCGTGAGTTCAAAGCCAGCCTCAGCAACTTAGTGAGGCCCTAAACAACTCAGCGAGACCCTGTCTTTAAATAAAATATAAAAAGAGCTGGGGTTGTGACTTAGTGATTCAGCACCCTGGGTTCAATCCCCAGTACCAAAATAAATAAATTAATAAAGGTATTATTAAAAAAAGAAGAACAAAAACATGAATAAAAAGAACAAGAACATCAAATTTGGGGAATATTTCAAGTATTTAACAGGGGCTTGTCCCCTTCCCCTTCTAAACACTGCAAAAACCATGTTTTTATCCAAGTTTGTTTATTCACTCATTCATTTAGACAGTAAGCACCTGCTGTTGTGCCCTGTACTGTTCCGTGTGCTATGGATATAACATTGAACAAAATGAAGTACCTGCTTTCGTGAAATAGACATATCAACAGGGAGCAGCAGTAAGCACACATACAATGTCATGTTAGTGGTATGAAGAAGAATTTAGTAGGGTGCATTAACTATATAATTTTTTTCTGTAATCTAAATGTTTTCCGTATCTGGGGCCTTGCTGGCCCTTCCCAGGGAGAATTCCTAGAGATAACAAACTATTGCCCTGTGTGTGCTTTTCAGATGTAAACCAGCTGATTCAGAGCCTGTGCTTCAAAGCACCAGTCCTCTATCTGGCTAGTGCACTCCAAAAGGCAGTATTCCTTTGCCCTAATCACCCCAGGCCAGGCACCAGGTAACCAAAGACAGCTCCTGCACCCCAGAGCCTGCTTAGAGTTTTACTCTGCTTGCTTTTCCCACAGAAATTGTAATAAAGGCCTTCTAAGTGGGAGATGTGGCCCTGTCCAGAGACTTGCCTAGCATGCCTGAGGCCCTGGGTTCCATTCACAGCAAGACCCTTTCTTGTCCTTGCTTTTCCCTGGTACCTTATGCCTCCCAACTCACCTAGGTGCTTGTTTGCTCCTTACATGATATGGTGGGTCCCCACCCTCTGGAAACTATAAGAAACTGTCTTTTCAATGACAGTTTTGCCCTGATCTATCAGCCTCAGATGAAAAGTAGGGGCATCCTCTTAGAAACCCATTTAGGAAGCGCCCTTGTCCTCCCGAACCAAGTTGTGTGAGACTCCAATGAGTCAGATAAGTGCAGCTGGCTCAGGGTCAGCCCATGTGATGTACAGTAAGACTCTACTAGGTCCTGAGAGACCCAAAGAGTTTTCATCAGGTGAACAGGAGAGGAAAAAGACCCTGCAGACCTCACTGCAGGGCTTGGCACAGGAGTTTTGGTAAGGTGCAGTGAAGGATTGCACGTAGCCTGAAGAGCACCAACCACAGGACATAGAGGTCCTGATTCTGTCTTCTAGTACAGAAACTTAATTATCACTGCCCTATGATACAGCTGGTTTAAACAGTACAGGGGGTGCAGGGACTGAACCCCAGATTCTTTACCAGCCCCTTTTCTTTATTTTGAGACAGGTCTTCACTAAGTTGCTGAGGCTGGCCTCAAACTTGCTATCTGCCTGCCTTAACCTCTGAGTTGCTAGGATTACAGACGTGCACCACCATGCCTGGCCCAGCTTTTTTTAAAAACTGGAATCACCTGATTAATAGCAAGAAATCTGGGGGCTGGGGATGTGGCTCAAGCGGTAGCGCGCTCGCCTGGCCCGGGTTTGATCCTCAGCACCACGTACAAACAAAAATGTTGTGTCCACCGAAAAACTAAAAAATAAATATTAAAATTCTCTCTCTCTCTCTCTCAAAAAAAAAAAGAAATCTGTAATGTTAATAAAATAATTGATTTTAAAGAAATATTTCTATTGACGGCTGGTTTATCGGCCAGCCTTATGCACATCCAGGGATGGTCCTTCCCACAGCATTTTGTTCATTGTTCAGTAGCTTTGTTATTGGAGAGTTCCTCCCTTGCTTGAGACCAGTATCTGTCTTCTAGAAACTTCTGTAACACTGTTCTCTCTTTTGCCATTTGGAGGTATAGAAGCTAAATTTATTATCCCAACATGGCCAGACCATTGGGGTTGCTATTTTGGTTTTCTTGATTTTCCCTTCTCCCAGATAGATAAATAGCCTTAGCCTTTTGGCCAACAAAGGAGTTGCCCT